ATGTCACAGCCCTGAAGACTGTTTTTAGCTCTAGCTAAAAACCTTAACTCGGGTTTGGCAATATTAACTTGGGTGTAGAAGTGGCTGACAATAAAGTATAGGAGACACTGCCAAGATTGCTAGATTTTGTTTTATGAAGCCAAATAAGAGATGTCATTATAATTAAGTGTACAAGACTAAGGATGCAATCACTTCTCACAATACTTGCCTTGTTTGTGGGGGCGAAGGGGGGGGCGGGGAGGGTAAACTTTATAGTCTAATAAATTAGTGCACGTTCCAGTAATGGTTTTTAAACTTTGATCTTAAGCTGAACAATGCAGTGCTAACCTCCTAGCATATTAGTAAAGAATCTAGTTTCCTTTTAGCTGGGGAAAGTGTTGTGTTATGATAGGCCACACCATCTTCACTCCCCCATGCTTAAGTCCTAGCTGTGTCTACAGGCATTGGGATTCATACCGACAAACCCAAAGTTAAACAGGAAAGGAAACTGTTCATCAATGGCAAGTTTATCAGCCATGACATCAAGAACATTTTAGCCCCTTGTTTACACCAAGCCTAACCTAGACACAGAAACCCAAGGAGGAGCACGTCATCTTTTGGACAAGATCAATCTATAGCATTTCAGTAATAAATCAGATTTATGGAGTTGGCTCACAGCTGGAGCTTTCAGCACGAGCAGTTTTACACTGGCTGTTAAATGAACCGAGCCAGCCCAAGAGCACAAAGACTTATCAGGAACATCTAAAACTTCAGAGTTATTTACCTGCTTGAGAGAGAAACACAATACAATCAAGCAAGAAAAAAAAGCAGTTATGAAGTCCCCCACTTTCTCTCAAACACATGCTAGCTCTTCAGGGGCAGAACAAGTTCTAGTTTTATGGGTAGGGAGAAGGAAGAGAAATACAGAGCACTCAGGAATACTTGCATCATAAACTTAAAATTCCCCAACCAGGCTACTCTAGTTTCTTTCCATCAATTTAAGACTAGAGGACATAATTCTCTCCTCCTCCTGCCTTAACAAGCAGCTTTAGAAGAAACGCCCCCGCACCTTTTCCTTGGAGTACTTACTCTCTCACTTCCATGAAGCAGAGGAGGATCATAAGGTTCATGCTTAAGAAAATGGTAGACTTACCATTGCTATAGCCAAACCACACCTAACCCCAGCACCAACAGTAACATGCTAATACAGCTGGTTTCTATCTGATTTATAGAAGTCTGTGAAAAGCCCAGCTGTGCAGGGGCCAGTCCATTGTGCTTTAAAGGGACAGCACTGCTTTCTTTACACACCACCCCTGTGCAGCTTTATGGCAGAGCTGGTGGGGGAAATTTTCTGGGAATGGCATTTTGTAGGGACATTCAGTTCTGTTGAAAATTAAACTGTATGACATGAGTTCAAGTTCAGCTGCATCTTGGAAGAAAACAAAGGGGGGAAATACTTCTGGCAGTGTCCACATTTCTCCCCTTGTCATTTGAAGAATGGAATCTTTTTACGATGCATTTTTGTTTCCCTTTTCCATGAGGTATTACAATACGCTACTAAATTAAAAAGTCAATATGAGAACAAAACATTTTGAATGACCTCAAAAGCTTTCTTTTCTTTAGGAAATCTCCTTCAAGATGTCCGGGTTCTAGAGCAAAGCCAGATCTCAATCTTGAACTCCTTCATGAAACAAAACTTCCATCCTCTGCACAGCTCTGCTTTATCATCCATGGACTCCACTAACTTCACTTTTAAAAGGGGATCGACAGCAGATCTCAACCTTTTTTGCCTTGAGGCGCCCCTCAATAGACAAGACACCCCTTGATAGACTTGAGGCACACCTCAGAAAATGCCTTCTGTTAGTTTTCACTCTCTTTTTTACTACAGAAAAATACTAGAGCAATTCTTCTGTTGCAAACAGCTCAGAAAGACCACACCAGGTCAGAAGGTTTTTAACAGTATGGATTCCTATTTGAAAACTCAGGGTTTATCTTGTGAATCATGTTTGCACACCTAACAGTGCTAACATTGTGTGACACCTTTTAAAGAGTGCAAGGCACCCCAGTTGAGAATCACTGGTCTACAGTACCTATAAAAGTAAGATGTTTTAGACAAGCCACAGCTCTTTAACCTACCAGAAAAAAAGGTTAGATAGAGCTTGACAGCTCATGATAGATATATTCAGACTAGAAATATGGGGCAAATATTTAACTGTAAAGGCAAGTGGCCAGTAGAAAGACAGGCTTAGGGTACTGGTGAATCCTAGCATTGTGCAAATGATTTTTGATTCAGCCATCAAACCAAAGCAACATTTAGTATGAACCCAACTGAGACATATTTTCATTTTTAATATGCAAAATGAAAAAGTGAAAAATGTGCATTTGAGGTCAAATGAACCATTTTGTTCAACCCAAAATGAATAATTTGCATTCTATTTGGGGCATCTTTATGAAAAGCAATGACACTGAGAGGCATGACAAGCACTATTGACAAAATCAGGGAGGAAGGGGCAATAGTTTCCTTTTCCCCCAATAGTCCAGGTGTTAAGCCACTCATGCAGGATATATAAGACCATTCTTTAATTCCCTTCTTTCCTTGAGTGGACTTACCCAACATTTGCAAGGGCATCCCCCTAAGTATCATGCTGTAAGCCTGTGATTTTCAACCTTTTTCATTTGTGGACCCCTAAAAAAATTCAAATGGAGGTGCGGACCCCCTTGAATTGTAAGTGTGGTTATTTACATACTTTTGGTTGATCACAGTCATCTTTCGCGGACCCCTTAGACATAGTGTGCAGACCCCCATGTGTCCATAGATCACAGGTTGAAAACCACTGCTTTTGGCCATTTTGGAGGTGGGTAACTCTGGGTCCTGCCTAATGACCCTGCTTCACTGTTATAAAATACTCTCTTGTTCCTTGGATCAGAGGCTGGAACCAAGGTGACTGGATTCCCAGGTAAGTGATATAACTACTTGGCTACAAAAAAGGGTCTTTTTTTTCTTATACATATACAAGGTGGAACAACTCCAACAGCTCAGATTGAGGTGCACTCCTCCTAAAATACTAGAAAACCCTTCCTAAAGCCCATTGGTTAGGACTGTTTCCTGATTATGGGTTCAAGTCCCTTCAGGCAGATGTGGGAATTAAAACTATGCCTCCCATATTCTGGGTGAGTACCCTCACTGCGAGGTTATAGGATAAAAGCCTCAGGAGAGATATATGCCATGCACCTTCCTGCTGGCTCTGTTTTATTCACCTAAAAGTATTTGGCAAACCTGATCCCAACTCAAAGTGTCAGGCAACACACTAGTCACATACTACAACAACGACTACTACTACTACTATGCATATTTGAATCTCCGTGGGGTGAGATATATACAACAGAGCTGGTTGTCTTTTTATTTTTTTTTAAAGATACAACATATGGACTGGATGCAGGCACTATTAGGAGACATTCTTTGACTTGGAAATCAGATTAGATTAGCATAATTAATCCTTCCTGGCCTTAACATCTATAAATAATACACCCAGTCTAAACATGTTCCTCTAGCATGAGTAAAATAACAAGGAGTTTGTTAGATTTCTTTACAATAATTTCAAACTCCAAAGGCTAAAATTCCCATCCCAGTAACACTGGTGTGTGCTGTAGCATTGCTCCAGACACCGAACCCTATGGGCTGATTTCTGTTTTACTCACATTAAGCAGCATCTCTCTTGGAGTACGACCCCTGAATTCACTAAATCTCACTGAAGTTTTGCTGCTGCTATTATTGAAAAGCAATGTATCATGGTCAAAAAATGTCCCCCCCCCTTTTTCTGCAATTGGAAATGAAAGTTTTTGGAAACATGCCTCTCTGGCAAAGTTCCTTTACTGAGTTAAATGTTTTTTGTAACTTGCAAGACTGGCCTGGTTGCAGAGTGGTAATCTGCTTGGCGCTGACCTTTCCCTGTGCAGTGCCATGCATATTAAGTGGTTACATGAAAGATAATTATTTGACAATGTGACTGGACACTCGCAGGGCTTGGTGAAAGAGGGTTGCTTCAATGAAAATCCATCTAGAATGGGACAGGCACATGGTGTTTGTCTCTGGAACTTAATTCAATGGTGGAAAGGAAATAGTAGGCAAATATGTACAATCTGCTTTCCTTGGACATTGTTCACTTGAACACAGAACTTCAGAGAGACCTAGACAAATTGGAGGGCTGGACCTTCAGACACCTAGACAGATTGGAGGATTGCACCAAAAGAAATCTCGTGAGGTTCAATAAGGACAAGTTCAAAGTCTTGCACTTAGGATGGAATAATCCTGTGCACCAGTACAGGATGGGGACCAACTGGCTTGGCAGCAGCTCTGCAGAAAAGGACCTGGGGGTGACAGTGGAACAGGAGCCACCAATGCGACCTTGTTGCTAAGAAGGCTAGCGGCATCCTGGGCTGCAATGGTAGGAGCATTGCCAGCAAATCAAGGGAAGTGATTATCCCCTCCCTATTTGGCACCGGTGAGGCCACATCTGGAGTCCTGTGCCCAGTTCTGGATGGAGGATGGAGCTAGACTGTTCTCAATGGTGGCAGATGACAGAACAAGGAACAATGATCTCCAATGGCAGCAAGGACAATTTAGGTTACGTATCAGGAAAAACTCACTAGGAGGGTAGTAAAGCAGTGGAACAGGTTCCTCAGAGAGGTGGTGAAAGCTCCATCCGTGGAGGTTTTTAAGACCTGGGTAGACAAAGCCTTGGCTGGGATAATCTAGCCAAGGGAACCTCACTTGGGGCTGGTCCTGCTTTGAGCAGGGGTTTGGACTAGATGTGACCTAAGGTCCCTGCCAACCTTCATTTTCTATGATTGTAACTCATTATTATTTACCTTGTGCCTCTAAAGTAGCTGGTATTTTACAGAGGATCCTTGCTGTGAACTAGGCACAGGCTAAAGTAATTGGTTCTGTGATTAGATCAATTTAGGCATGACTGCCTGTGAGCTGACTCCCACTGAAGTTCACCCGAGCTGGTGAGCTGGGACCTAGATGGACAACATACAGACAAAACACGGTTGCTTTATCCTCTCATTCCTTTATCTAACAACTGGCAACAGGACAGGAAGGAAAGAAATATGCAGAGAAGCTTATGAGAGTTTGAGTGGTATAATAAGGTGAATAATCATTATTAATGATTTATATAAATAGTAATCATATATTCAATCAAAATATGGAAACGCATCTATAGATGCTTTTGGTCAGTGTGTGTTTAGGGAAACAATAAAATAAGAAAGATCAAAGAAGAGACTCCAGAGGAGAGAGCACAATGTATAGGTCTCCTCTGTAACATGCTGCGCTGAGTCTGCCTCGCAGAATGGCAGGCACTCCTACGTCTGAACGGTCTGGTCTACTATAGTCCCAAGCCCTAGTGTTGACCTGGTTTAGGCAACCCAAAGGTGACCAACCTTAAATGGGTCATGAGTGAACTGTCATGTAAGGATACCTTGTAAGCATTACTGAGTGATCTAGTAATCAGTTCAATAAAAACAGGTCAAGTGTTAACCTGGTTGTTGCAATAAAACTGGTTTAATTGAAATTCTTTTAAAATGTATTTTGTGGGGGGGGATATTTCCAAGTTCAGTGGCTAGAGGATAGTCTGGGACTCGGGAGAACTGGATTCAAGTGCTGGTTCTGTCACAGACTCCCTGAGTGACCTTGGGTGAATCACTACAGCTTCCTGCCTCAGTTTACCATCTGTATAATGGGGATAGATAGCACTTCCCTATCTCACTGAGGATCAGTCTCTGTCAGGACAGATCTGAGATGCTCAGACACTCAGACCCAGATAAGTACCAGGTCTAGAGAAGTGAGCATACCCCTTGGTATCTCTTGAGACTGTCCATGGACCAAAGATCTACTGCCATGAAATCACCCCACGGCAAAGGACTTGCTTAAGCACCGCTTAAGTCCTAGCTGGGACTCTTAGATCCAGATCCTGCAAATTCTTTGTCATATGCTTAATTGAAATGACATAAACGGATTCTCTGAAGTCAAAGTTACATAAGCAAAAGTATTTCAGGGATGGGGTCTTAAATGATGCATAGGGTTGAGGAGCGGTCTATGCAGTGGGGTGAATCTCTATGTGAGCAAGGAGGTCTGTGCAGTGGGGTGAATCTCTATGTGAGCAAGGGGGTGCAGAATAAGACAGGCATATGCCCCTGCTTGCACCCCTGTGCCCACGAAACTCAAACCTACTAAACCCAAACCCACTGAACTCAGCAGGATTCCGGGCATCAGCTAATTTGGATGGGGTCCATAAAGTATCCAGGATGCAACAGATGGCTGATCATTTCATTACCAATGATGATACTGATAATTATTCATTCAGCACCATGTACTCCTCCATAGATGCATAGATTTGGGGAGGGGATAATCTATCCCTGTGGCACATCAGCCACGTCCTTCTAGCTAGAAGGAAACTCCTGCATCTGCCTTTGTTTTTTTGCTTTTCAGATAACACTTCCTTTAGGGGGAAAAAAAAAACACTTGAGGGCCAAATTGCATCCAGTCCAAGGCTATTAAAAGCAGCAAGATTACACCAGGTACAAAGTAGCATGGAATTTGGCCCTTCATATATAATATTTCTAGGCAACACACAGAGAAAGGGTCTCTGTTGCTTTAAAAGAGCAGTACTTCCCTATATTCAGGTGGAGTCAATCCCTACCAGGCTATAAACTTCCAGGGAGAGGCAGAGGCAGCTGTTTTGCTTTGCTCTGGGGAAGTTTAGAGATTCATCATGGTAAGAGCATGCCTTATGTTTGTGTTAGCTCAAATGTTGCTATATT